CTTGAGCCATCCCCCCAGCCCAGTTTCCACACTTATTTATAAATTACTAATTTGGTCACAGATATCTTCTTACATATCGGAATAAATCATTTCACTCTTTTTTTATTTATTAACATATTATAGTTGTACTGGAGGTACATTGTGACATTTACAAAAGTGCTTACAATATGTCTTAGTTAGATTCACCCTCCATCATTTTTTTAATCCCCCTTCACCACTTCTTCTTAGAATGGTTTCAGTAGGTCTCAGTGTTCCATTTTCATACATGGATCCATAATATTTCCACCAGATTCTCCCATTTTCACCTTTTCTTTATTTCCTCACCCCTCCCCCTGGACCACCTCCCAGACAGGACCTGTTTTACCTTCTTGTCCTTCATTTTGGAAAAAAAATATATATATGTTTGTTTGTTATACAGGGAGTTTCATTGCGACATTTACTTATGTATACGTGTTGCACCCTGAATTGGTTCATCCACTCCATTATTCTCCTTTCTACCTTAGTCCCCTTCTTATGGTGATTTCAACAGGTTTGAATGTTCCAATTCATACTTGTATAGAAAGCATATCAACTATATTCACCCTCTTAACTTCCTTGTTTTACCCTCCCGTTAATGTCCTCTTAGTGTGACCTGTTTACATTCTGGTCCTTCATTGTTTAGGTGTCTGTTCGTTGTTCTGTGTAATTTTTACCTCGGTATCTTACCTGTAAGTATATTATAAATCTCTTTACTCTTACTGAGAGCTAAGCTTTTGAACAAAAACTGGTTTTGAGAATAATGACATGAAAATTATACTCAGACTAATAATGAATATGCATGCTGAAAAACTGAGAGTCCTAATGCTATAACCTAAGAACATTAACAAAATCTTGTTGATATTAAGTAAATTTTTGAATTTATATATGAAAGACATTTACAATTTGGATATAAAGCAGTATTTTAAGTCATAATACCTTTAAAACTAATGGCAACTTTTCAGTCTTTTATTTATTTTGCTTTATTTTTTGGTAGTACAGGGCCTAATACTTGCTAGGCAGGTGCTCTACCACTTTGAGTCACTCCGCCAGCCCTTTCTCTGTGGATTGGTTTTTCGAGCTAGGGTCTTATGAACTATTTGCCTGGGCCTGGCTTTGAACCACATTCCTTCTTATCTCTGCCTCCTGAGTAGCTAGGATTACAGGTGTGAGCCACCAATGCCCAGCTAAGGATGGCATTTTAATACGCACATTAGTAGCAGCTGTGTGTTGAGTAAAACCTGTGTGCCCACCCTGTGACTGCCAATCTCACAGAATTCCCAGGACTGATGCAGGAACTGCAGAACTAATAAAATGTCTGTCAGTTCACAACTGCTCTGCCTGTCCTATGGATGCCTGGGCGTGTGGATATGTGGCAGCTATCACCAGTCTCCCCCATTGTTAGCTACATCCCTTACTGTTCATTAGGATAAATCGTGTAGTTACTATTTTTGAAGTCTGTGTCTGTATTTCCCATTTCCCAGTGAAGGGTACTAGAAGTGATTATTTTAAGTTTTGACACATTTTGCCAGTTGCCTTCCTGAAAGGTTAGGCCAATTTCCAGGGAGTGATGAATTCTAATGGGAAGGAAAGAAGTGGATGGGAGTGGCATTTCTTGAAGGAGGTGACATCTGAGCTGGATCATGCAGCATGAGCAGGACTTTGCTAGAAGAGAGGCAGACGAATGTCCACGCAAGGAGAGAAGTGAAGGCAGTGGCTCCCAAGCTGCACCACGCCTTTGCTGGCTGTGCTTCTTGGCCACCTGAGACCCCCATCATTTGCTTATTTAAAAGTTGCCATGGAAGGGTGTGGGGGGAGGGGGGAAGGGGGGGAGAGGTGGCTCAAACAGTGTATACACATATGAATAAATGTATAAATAACTTTTTTTTTGTTTTTTTTTTATTTTTTTTTTCTTTTATTATTCATATGTGCATACAAGGCTTGGTTCATTTCTCCCCACTGCCCCCACCCCCTCCCTTACCACCCACTCCGCCCCCTCCCTCTCCCCCCCACCCCCTCAATACCCAGCAGAAACTATTTTGCCCTTATTTCTAATTTTGTTGTAGAGAGAGTATAAGCAATAATAGGAAGGAACAAGGGTTTTTGCTAGTTGAGATAAGGATAGCAATACAGGGCATCGACTCACATTGATTTCCTGTGCGTGGGTGTTACCTTCTAGGTTAATTCTTTTTGATCTAACCTTTTCTCTAGTTCCTGTTAAAAGTTGGCACAGAACAGCATCATTATAAAACTAGAGAGAAAGCTGGAATTCTAATATGTGATCTGCCCTTTCATAAATTTGGAAATCATTCAAATAATCTGAAGTCCTGCGATAGGCATAGTGGCCTATTTCCCTTTTCCTTTGCTCACAGTGGGGCAAATTCCCCTGAGGATTCAGTCTAACTAGGAAACTCACCACCTCTGTGGTCCCAGCTGCTTCCCTGAATTTTACAAGACAAAGGACTCTGATCCTAAGGTACAGCTCCAACACCTACCTGACTCCAGTTAAGTGCAAGGTGGAGCATGTCCTCAGCTTCTTGTATGTAATGATTGATACTCACATGCTTGGGGAAATGGATAAAAATAACCCAGATCTGTTTTTGAACCTGGGAGGGGTTCCAAACACAAGGGAGCCAAATCAAGTGGTAGGCAGAGCAGGAGCTGGATTTCAGCCTTTATCTGCTCATCTGCCGGTCTGCAGTGCCCTTTCCAGACTCCAGCAAGTGCTGAGAGCCAAGGGGTAAAGGTGACAAGGTAAGGGAACCCACAGGCCTGGGCGACCTCTACACACCACTTCTCACAAACCTATCATCGCAGCTTGAAATGCAATATGACCAGCAAGACAGTTCACATCATATTTTGAAGAAGGCAACTTATAATTTATAAGTTAGAGTAATAAAATATTTCTAAAGCTACCAAGTACCTAGGACAAACAGGATTTTCTTTTTGCCTCTGATGAGTATGCTGCTACTATGAAGATCTGGTCTTGCTGACATTCATGAAGTTTGTAAAGTCTGAATGGAACTCGCGAAAACCTAACTATGAAATAAAAGTCGAAAGGATTAGACAAACATAAGTTATAGATTGTTTTAAAGTAAGTTGCCGCTTTTTTTTGTTTGTAAGGAAATATAATAAGAGTAGATGAACGTGATCAAATAATCTGTTGGACCAGGTTTAATTGATAGCTAAGAAATCTTTATCATTGGCATTGATGTGTAAATGTATTAGAATAAAACACTTGGTGGCACTGTCGGTAATGTCAGCACTTAGGAGGCTGCGGCAGGAGAATCATGAGTTCAAGGCCAGCCTGGACAACATTGTAAGACCCTGCCTGGAAGGAAGGAAAGAAGGGAGGGAGGGAGGGAGGGAAGGAAGGAAGGAAATTAGAATTGCTTTAACTGGTTCCCATCTAAGGCCTTAATAAAGGTGTCAAAAATTATTTTCCTCTGTATTAAAACATCACATGATACCCCATTAATATGTACAGCTGTATATTTATCAGGTTTTTTTTTAAAGTACTTTCCTCTTAAGGTTCTTGCAAGCTATTAATTGGATAATGTATAGGAAACTCCGTGCTCTGCTGATGCCTCTTGCTGGTAGACGAAGAGGAAGAGTTGTGATTTTTGCTTTGTTGCCTTCATGGTTATTACTATGATTATTTATGACTCTTATTCCTGCCTTGCTAGTCTTTTCCCCAGTCCTAACAACGGAAAGTGCACAGACTGGAAGATGGTCATAAGTACCATTTGTATTAGTTATATGATGGGAGGCAGGAGTTTGAGACATAGAAAATGTGCCCACATTGTGGGGCCAGGTGTGAGGCTCTCCCCCTACAGGAGTCATTTGAAAGAGAGGCTCGTGCCCGTTCATAAGAGCTTAGTTCCTAAAATCTTCTGTGTTAAGATGGTGTAAATGGGTGAAATCTATGCCAGAAGCTCTTCCCCACTTAAAAATTTCAAAGTCAGACGTGAGAAGAAGCCAACAAGAAAGAATGCTGTTAGACTACATTTCAATGCACCAATGCTGCATCTGCTCTTGATTTGTTTATTGACAGATATTTGCAGCTTAAAACACATCCCTTTGACTCTGTTTGACTTTTTTTTTTTTCCAGTGGGACTGGGGTTTAAACTCAAGGCTTCACACTTGCAAAGCAAGTGCTCACAAAGCAGGTACTCTACCACTTGAGCCACACCTCCAGTCCTGTCTGGTTCTTTTAATCTGCTATAGTTCCTAATCTAAACTAAGTTTTATTTTTTTTTTTTTTGGTGACAAGGTCTCATTGTATACTCCAGGCTGGCCTTGAACTTGCGATCATCCTGTTTTAACTTCCTGAGCTCCTGAATGCTAGGATTACAGGCGTGTGCCACCACACCTGACTAAACCATCTATTTTCTTTTCCATTCCTAGTTCTAGTCTTTTCTCCAATAAAAAACTTGCTTTTCTTGCCTATTCGGATAGAAGAAATATTTTCTATGTAGCATGTCAAAAAGTATAAAATTATTTACTTAAAGTGCTTGCTTACTCTATATAGATCATTTAAAATACTCAAAGCAATCAATCCCAAAAATAACTTGCTTCTGGAGGTAGATCGCATTGCTACTAATATTGCCATGATATATGAATTAATATTTCTACCATTGATCTTGACTGTAAAATTTTGTCCTGGAAAAGGCACTCATGCACACGTTCTTCCATAAAGCTTCCCTTAGTTTCCAGGTTCCTAGCTCTCTTCTTTTTTATTATGCTCTAAGGGTTTGATCATTTAACTCTTGCTGTCTACTTGGCTAGCACTCACTCGCCCTTTCTCCCTCACTCTTCCCCTCCCAGCTCCTCGATGCAGGCGGGAATCTTGTACCACAAGTTAGTTGTTGACTGCTAAGTGTCATGAAGTATCAGTGAACGTCATCTGTTCATAGGACATTGAGTGTCTCAATGCCACATCAAAATGTATAAATACCAGAAATGTGTGTGCTCTTCTTCTGCAGGTCAATCAGCTTCACGGCATCCCCAGGCTGCTGCAGCTGCTCAAGGTTCAGCATGAGGAGGTTCAGCGAGCCGTGTGCGGGGCCCTGAGAAACTTGGTGTTTGAAGACAACGACAACAAGTTGGAGGTTGCTGAACTAAATGGGGTGCCCCGGCTGCTGCAGGTGCTGAAGCAAACCAGAGACTTGGAGACTAAGAAGCAAATAACAGGTAGTGCTTACTGAACAGAACAGAGCCCAGCCAGAGGTCATGTCCTGTGATGTCAGACGACTGATGCTCCTTATTAGCCAAGAGATGGCTTTAAAGAAACAGATCGTCCATGTCTGACTGCTTTTTTCCAAGGGGGAACATCTTCTAAAGCTTGTGCTTAATGATTTTAACTAGAAATTCTATGTTGCTTTGATTAGATGTCTTTAAAACAACTTGTTGACAAGATTCACCACAAGGGCTGGTGGAGTGGCTCAAATGATGAGTGTCTTCTTAGCAAGTGTGAAACCCTGAGTTCAAACCCCAGTACTGCAAAAGAAAAAAAAAAAATCACCTCATGAAAATTATGCATAAATTCACTAAGAGCCAGCACAATAGTTTGGGAATATATGGGGTTTCCATGGTGTCCAAAGCATTCTGAAGGAAAAGTGACAAAAGCCGTACCCCGTTATTCTGCATTCAGTTTGCTGCATCTGTACAGGAAAGTGACACGGAGAGGTAAAGAGTTTTCTAGCAAAGAGGATCAGTGGAATCAAATTCGTCAAAACATAGGAATCATTTTTCCATCTTTCATGGCCTGGACCCCTCATACTACCTTTGCAGCACTCCTTCTTCTCAGTCCTCCAAAGAAGAAGAAAGAATGGGTAGATAAGCTTTTTTTTCAGTTCTGTATTTCATATTTTTGTTCAAATACTGATTTGAACGAGTAAATCCTCCCTTTCTGCCGGGTGGATTGGACAGATGAGCTATTCAGATAGAATTAAAGTCACCTCTCTAAGTAGTATGACCCTGTAATGATGTGTGGATGTCACCACACCGGCTCCCTCAGCTCTGTTCAGTCACCTGCACAGGTGGCAGAGTGTTAGAATGTTCCCAGCTGACATCGTCAGTAGTGGGGAGACTTTTATTAAGTATCTTCAGTGTCTCAAGTGAAGGACGAACTTTTTTTAAATTTAACTATCACAAAAATTTCGGTTTTTAGGTTAGTGTTAGAAATTGAATCTCAGTTTTGCAAGAAAAATAAAGCTCAAAGGAGTTAATGCTTTTTAACATAGCAAAAGTTTTCTTAGCCTGCATCAGTGACTTACACCTACAATCCTAGCTACTCGGGAGGCAGAGATCAGGAGGATTATGGTTCAGAGCCAGCCTGGGCAAATAGTTCCATGAAACCCTATCTCAAAAAGCCTTTCACAAAAAAATAGGGCTGGTGGAGTGGCTCAAGGTGAAGGCCCTGAGTTCAAGCACCAGTATCACACACACACACACAAAAAAAAGTTTTCTTAAAAAATAGTGATCGTAGTTGACCATATTTTCATAAATCCTTTGTGTGTGTGTGTGTGTGTGTGTGGTGCTGGGGATGGAACCCAGGGCCTTGTGCATGCTAGGCAAGCACTTATTTTTTTCTATAAAAATTTTATCAATATGTCTTCCTTAAAATATCGTATTTTTTTCTATTTTGATTTTTTTTCTTTCTGTGCTGGAAATTGAACCAGGGTGTCCTACCACTGAGCTACATCCCCAACCCCTATTTTGATATATTTTAATTGTATAAAACTCTGTGACGGGTTGTAGCATGCTACTGTTCTGCCATTCCATGTCATATTAAAGTGTCTGCAGAAACGAAGAGTACTGACATCCATTCAGCCAACACTTACAGAGGAGCTGTCAGGTGGCAGGCAGTAGAGTCACAGCCTAGGGAGCTGTTGGTTTTGTTTTTCCATCCTCTGAAGCATGAAGGGTTATGTGATGGTTGGCATAAAAGCAAAAGACAACTTCACACTTAGAAGCCAACTTCTTCCTCATTAAAATATAGCAATGAACCACACAAGGGAATCAAACAGATTCTCCAATTTCACAGTCAGAAAAGACTCCGTGAGGGAGAGAGATCTCATCATGGGCCTTAAAAGAGGAGACTGACTTTGGTTTGGATTTGTGGGGGAAGTGGTGTTTGTTTGTTTGGGGTTTGGACTCAGGGTCTCACACTTGCTAGACAAGCACTCTACCATTTGAGCCATGCTCTCAGCCCTTTTTGCTTTGGTTTGTTTTTCAGATAGGTTCTCAAGTTTTTACTTGAGCTGGTATCAGACTGATCCTCCTACCTCCACCTGCATGTAGCTGAGATTACAGGCATGTACCACCATTCCAGGCTCCCTGTTTCAAGAGCAGCAGCTTTTGGGGGTTTTTCTGTTTTGTTTTTTGGTGGGACTGGGGTTTAAACTTGAGGCTTTGCACTTGCTAGGCAGACACTCTACCACTTGAGCCATTCCTCCAGCCCTGGGCTTCTGTTTTGAGATAGAATTTCACTACCTTTTGTCCAGGCCATCCACAAACCATCCATCTCTGACTCTCCCATCTCTGCCTCTTAAGTAATTGGGATTACAGGTATGAACCACTGCACCTGGCTTTGGATTGGTCTTTTGAAAGAGAATGAAAACTGTTCCTGACAAAGTGAGCATCACTAGAAGGCAAAGAGGCAGAACGATGCTGCTGGAAAACAGAGTGATTAGAAGTTAGTGTGTATGGTCATGAGAAAACCTGGGGGAGGGGAAGTATTTCAAAGGAATAATTCAGTGAACCACACTTTCTCCTTTCTTGTACAGGCAATAGGAAACTAAACTCAGGGAGCATTCTATGCTACTGATGTCATACAAACCACGTGGGCCTCTGTAGATAATCTGTGGAATAGCTAAGTGGAAGGTGATTGTATGAAACCCAGAATTTCTAGCATAGCCTCCCCACACACACATACACACACACACTGGTGGTGTGCATTACCTGCTTATTGCATTGAACAGATTCTTGGACATTTGATACAAATCCTGAGTGACCCCTTTACGCCCTTTAGCTAAAGAGGTGCTTTCTGTACTTGCCTAGCAAGCACAAGGCCCTGAGTTCAAATCCCAGTATTGCAAACAAATATGTTTTTTAAAAACAGTGCTTTCTGGGCCTCAGAAATAAATTGTTGACCTAAAGTATACATGTTTGCATCTTTGTTTAAAAATGCACAGCAAGTAAACATATGTGAATCTTTTCTCATTGGTCTTTCTTTCTTTTTTTTTTTTTGGTACTGGGGTTTGAACTCAAGGCCTCATGCATAGTAGACAGGTGCTAGACCACTTGAGTCACCCCTCCAGCCCATTTTGCTTTAGTTATTGGATAGGGGCTCCCATTTTTGCCCAGGTCAGCTTGTGACTGACTACAATCTTCCTACGTATGTCTCCCAGTAGCTGGGACTGCAGGCATGTATACCATTACGCCAGGCATATACAGCATTATACCTGTCTTATTGGTTGAGGTGGGGATTGTGCCCAGGCTAGCCACAAACCGTGATCTCATCTCCACCTCCTGAGTAGCTGGGATTACACGTCCCACCATGCCCAGCTTGTCAGTCTTACTTTGATTTTTTACTGAGCCCCTGATGTGAGTTAATCACTAAACTGGGGCTGCCTGTCTTCCATCTCTGTTTCTCCTGACAACTCCACAAGGGGTGGGAGTATAACTGATGATTTTCATATGATCAATGAGAGGTTCAGAGATGGCAAGTAAATTGTAAGGCTACACACCTAGTGAAGAGCAAAGCCCAGGTTTGAACCCAGTTTCATCTGGGTGCTTTGCTATATTAACCCACCTGCGCCTTATGAAAGACATGGTGACTCATCTCCACATGGAGAAGTGGTTCATGTTTTAGACTCTTGGATCAGAGATCTCCACTTGGCTCCTCTTTGCCTATCCATTTTATCATCTTGCCTCTGCCTTGTCTTACCATAGCTCTGTGGTTCAGTATTGCACCTTGCAATCTTTTCCTCCTCTCTGCTTCTAGCGATTTCTTTCTAAAAAGAAAACACTGCCCCGTTGTTCCCCTTGCTAGCAACAAGGCAAGGTCCGTACTCTGCTGTGTCCCACACAGAGATTTTATGATGTGAGCCTGATGATCTGTGTCTCTTTCAGACCCTTCTAAACCTGGTTCTGAAATCCCAAAGGACTTGCTAGTCTTGGTACCTTTGTCTCTGCTGTTGGCCTGGATTGGAATCCTTCTGCACACCTAGACCACGGGGGTGAACCCCCTCATCTGTCCTTTAACGCTAGGTGGCCTCTTGCATCACGCCTGTATGTTTAACTGTGGTGCCACCTGCAGTGCTGGCAGAGCTTTCCCAACAGCTGTTTCCCAACAACTGCTGATGTCTAACCAAACGTAGCAAAGAGCCTTGTGGCCTGGGAATAGCTAGATCACATACTAATACTTGGGTTCTAAGATAAGACTCTGATTTTTCTGGCCAAAATGTTAAAAAAAAAAAAAAAAAAAAAGGTCTGGTCCCATCCGTTGTGTGTATGAATAAAAAGTTCAGCGCTAGAACTTAATTCAATATCTTCCTGTGTCAGTGTGAGAGGGAATCTCTTCCCTCCTCCAATGAAAATGAAAAGACTTCAGGCTCAAAGGCGGCTCCTTCCCACCCCCCAGGAAATCGCTCGCTCTCAGCCTTACCAGGGAAGTATGGTCCTCTCACTTTACTTGAAGTGAGTACAGCGCACCTTCAAGGCCATTGAAGAGTGAGCATGTGCTGGCGTGAACTGGGCGGTGCCCTGGGTTAAAACAGACAAGTCATGATAAGAACGAAGCAGGGGTCTCCTGTGCGTAGTGTGTAAGGAAGAGTCCAGATGACCTCTATGTGATTTGGGGAACAACTAATTGGATTGCTATATTTTAATAAAATACCAAAAGATGTTTTGCTATAAAATGTTTATTATGCATCTTTAAATACTGTATATTGTTTTATTCTGGATCCAAAATGTACAACCAGGTATCCTGGGTTTATGTATAACTCGGAATAAATGATCTTTGCCAGAGAATAAAGAACAACTTCCTTTTGCTCTGCTCTGACCACTTTGAACAGCAAGGCTAAGAAAAATCAGTCCTCTCATTTAAAATCCTTGTTACCAATGTCATCTCCTCCTCCTGCTCCTCCTCCTTACTTTTCAATGAAGATAGGGGATTCATTTAATATGAAATCTGCGAGTTTTGCTATGTAACAGTTCATGCAGACTGGTTAAATAACAGTATTTCCTGTCCTACAAGACAATGTTAGAAAATATGTGTTCATAGCTATAAGACCCTTTACTAGTTAGCTATTCTTTGCAGCATTATAGTTGACAGTAAGTTTCTGAATGTTGCAGTTACAAGTATCTCCCTAATGTGTGCTAAATATTCAAATCATGTCTCTTACCACTATCCAGGTCCCTTTGGTTTTGGCTAGAATTAGAGCCTAGTGGTAGAAAATCACAGGCAGACCTGCTGCAACAGTGAACTATAAATAATAGAAACTTAGGTACTATGAATAAATTACCCAGAAGTTAAACATGAGACAAATGAAAACCTGTGGTAGTGAATCTAGAATTTGATCACTGAAGAGGACATTGTTTCAGAGTTATTTAGTCCCTTGGTGTCCAAAAGAAACCAGTTTTGTGGGAGGTGGGAGTGGGATAGGATTGTTTAGTTTTTGAGACAAGGTCTCCCAGTGTATCCCAAGCTGGCCTTGACCTTTTGATCCTCCTGCCTCAGCTTCCCAAGTGCTAGGATTATAGGTATGAGCCACCACACCCAGCTAGGTACTGGGGATTGAATGGAAGGCCTCACACATGCTAGGCAAGCACGCTAACTCTTGAACTACACCCCACTCCCAACTTTTATGTTTTTTGTATTTGGTTTTTGAGATCAGGTCTTGTTACCTTTATCTGATCTAGCCTCAAACTTGCAATCCTTCTGCCTCTACCTCCTGAGTAACTAGGATTACAGGTGTGCCTGTCTAGAATATTTTTTTAAAAGATATAAATTTCTGGAATCCATCCTGAGATTCTGCCTCCATAAATTTGGGGTGTGGCCCAAGACTATGTGATTCTGATTTATTACTGGGTTCATTTAGAAACTGCTCATTGACACTAATCTCAGGTTAAATCCTTATTGACATTTTGGTGAGGGATGAGCTCATTTTTACCCACCCTAGGGATAGAGCTGGATGTATAACCATGGAGATCTTCCTGTTTTCTTCAAAGTGAGCCACAGTTTTCTTCCTTAGGATGGCCACTTGTTGGTTCTGGCTTTGCCCTCCATGGTCACAGAAAATTCTATCTAGCTGCTTAAATTTGCCTTTCTTTAGTTACTAGACAGCATGCATTCCTGTCTAGCCCTACATTAGCCCTACTATCTTTTGGTTTTGTGTTAAATGCTTTCCCTTCTTGTGATTGGTTCTTGCTGGTTGTGTAAGGGGGATGGGGAGGTGTAAGTTTATGTAACCCCAAATCTCTGCTGAATATCTTAGCTTTTTCCCAGCCTCATGTCATCCAAAATTTGGAGGCCATGACATTTTTATATAGTATTCTCCATTAAAAATTCAAAAATCATACCAAAAACTCCCCATACTATATACTTAGGTAGAAATAATGTAGCATGCCTCACTATAAAGGATACTGTCTGTTCAAGGAAAATTCCATTCCCTTTGTTCAAATTAATCCTCTCTGGCTCTTATTATGAGGTGCTCCTTTCCTTTGAGTGCCCTGTGTGGTCCTTCTGAAAAGAGAAACATCATTATGCCTCACTTTTTTAAGCCTCTGGCAGGCCAAGACTGTTAATTTGTTTGCTTATTTGGAACTCTGGAAGCTTTTCTCTCTCTCTTTTCTTCTAACTTTCTTTTGTAGCTTAGTAACCCAAACTCAACTTCAGACCTGCCTTTAAATTGTCTTCAACCACCTCTGGCTGAGTTTTATGCTCTGATCCCCTGCAGGGCCTCTTAAGATGAGGAGGGAGGAATGAAGTCATTGTGTTGCAAAACCTGTGCTGAGGGACAGCTGCTCAGGACTGACCCCAGATGCTGGTTTGATAAGGAAAAGAATGGAATGCCAGAAATCCAGTCTTCACCAGATGGCAGGCTCACTGTCCCTATCTGTGTCTAATGGAGACTACAGATGTAGGCTGCAGTGAAAACTGGGTTAATGTTTCAAAAATATACACAGTGAAAACAAACTGTTTAAGCACAGAATATTAGTATGCTAATCGATTGGGCCAAATGCATGTATGGTTGAATAATTAGCAAGCTTTAGCTGTGCAGACTAGTACTTCAGTCTTAAATCAGGGGAAATGATAGCACCACTTAATTCAACTGAGATCACCATATTCACTTTGTTCATCAAATAGTTTGCCCTATAGCCCTGCCTCTCTTCTCCCTTGGGACAGACAACGCAGGACATTTAAGAAGGACTGGGAGGTGGGGAGGATAGGGTAGAAAAGAAAGAGTCATTCCCTCTCTTTCTCTTCCCTCTCTGCTTCCCTTTCTTAGGTGATAGTGAATAAATGACAGTACAGGATGCTGATGAGACTAAGGGTCACCAAGCAGCAGGATACAGGGCAGGGAGGGGCAGGACTAAGCCTTGATGTGAGTACCAGAGGAACCATACAGGCAGAAGAAACTTTTGAAGCCAGGGTCAGGCACCCCCAGTGCTCTCCATCTCCTCACTAGGGCAGTCTACTGAGGTATGAAAGACTGCAAGGCAAGATTACACTTGCCAGGGTCCCTAAAATAGAAAGCAATACACACATAGTTCTTCTTCCGCTGATTTGGAAGTTTTTGCATACTAACCTTACAAGAAAAACACTATCCTAAATGTATATGCCACCTTCTATCCTCTCTCAGTACCAAGATTCCGTCTTTCACAGTGCCCTGGAAAGCGCAGTACAAACCTGTCTTAACTTCTTCCTGGCTGGCTATGGCCTTTCCTTTTAATGTGAGAGAGTCAAGAGGGAACGGGAAGAGTTTTGTGAGTGAATATAGCACTAGTCTTAGACCAGTACTTAGACCATGTAAGTTGGCAGATAGATAAGATACAGTACTTTGCCCTTTACTGCTAAACTATAAAATAAGAAATACATACAGTAGCCAGCATAAAGCCCCGGGGAGCATAAACTGTGTCACTGGCAGGAGTCAGTAAACAACTGTTGATGTTGACCAGCCTGCTGTTGACAGGCATACAGAAAGGCTTCCTGCAGCTCTTCCGGCTCTGAATGGGAGGCAAAATATCAGGTGAAGGTAACAGGTAGTGAGAAGGAGGAGACAGGGAAGATAGTCTGTCTTCTGTGGATCTAAAGAAGAGAAACAGTTCTTTCAGAATGCTGAACTGAAGCCTTCATTACAATAGGGCTGTTTCAAACCTCCCTGTTGGTGAGCCCAGAGTTTATTATCCTAATGAGGTCAGCTTTGAGGCAGGGTCACAAAGATTAGCAGCAATAAAGGTTTAGGTATTTCTGGCTCTTATTAACTGAATAACTGAAACCTGTTCAATTTTGTATCATAAGCAATGTATCTGACTGTTCTTAGGGGTTACCTTCCATTACCATCTACTAAGATCTCAGCAGGTTCTTTCCTCAAAGCCCCCTCCCCCTTTTTAAATAATGAATCACAGTGCTGGAGCAGATGGCCTTAACTGGACTTTCCACCCTGCACTGTTCTCATGGTAACTCTGCTTTTCTAGGTTTGCTGTGGAATTTGTCCTCTAATGACAAACTCAAGAATCTCATGATAACAGAAGCCTTACTCACTCTGACCGAGAATATCATCATCCCCTTCTCGGGGTGGCCTGAAGGAGACTACCCCAAAGCCAATGGTTTGCTGGACTTTGACATATTCTACAACGCCACTGGATGCCTAAGGTAAAGTTACCCCATCCCTTCCACCCCCGCCCAGATGGAAGATGTAATCAAAATTCCCCAGCCCAAGAGAAATTGAGATAAAATCTGCCTTTCCATCCCTCCTCTAATGACACAGTTTGTTTTGATGCAGTGTTTATCTCCAGTTAGTCACACCATATGTATCAGATACAAACACAGTACATATTACATACCACTTAGCAGCATTATGATAGCTGCTAAGAGTTTTCCTTAAGGAAATTTTAATCTATCAGGGAATGTAGATGAGCAAATTAGCTGGAATCTCCCATAATGCAGTATTGAGAGCAGCGGTTCTCAAACTTGGTCCCACCCCAGAGTACTGAATCAGAAACCCCCCCAAGGTGGGGCAGACTTTCCAGGCAATTCAGACATTGATGTTTGAGAGCTACATTGTCAGAGGTACAGGTGAAGCATGGCGGAAACACAGGCCAAAGGGCCATTCCCAGCTGAGAGAGCCAGAAAGGCTCTAGAGAAGTGTCAGAAGAGCTGCGCCTTGTGGACTCTTGACAGTCAGAAATCCTCCAGTGACAAAGGACTAAATTCTTGAAAGACATATGAAGCTTCTAAATGATGCCCCTGGAATTCATCTTTTGTATCACCCACTGGAATGGCTTTTCTAGTACAGATCCATCACTCACCTACTAAGAACCATTTCATGTCTTGACACTTCTGCATGGCTGCCTTTGCCTTACCATGTAAAACAGAATTCTTAACAGATGCATCAGTCAGGACTCTCCACTGAAAATGGCAGAAACTCACAGAACTCACTGGCTCATGGTGGCTGAGAAGTAAAAGGGAAGGAAGTAGACCTACAATCATAGCCTTACAGATGAGGACAGAAATTTAGCATCCCTGGACTCACTCTTTTTGGTTTGTACCTCATTTCTGCTTCCTTTTCTCTTTTTGCATACTAGGATTGTTCTCTACAAATCAAACAAGCCTTCTCCTTAGAACAGATAATGTAATCATAGGCAGTGCTTGCTTAGCTAAAAGTAGAGAAAAAAAAGTGCTTTTCTTCAAATGACTGTACCAGTCACATCCTTGGCACTGCTTCAGAATGGTGCACATCATTTAAGCCCCAGTTGCCTGAGTTGGCCACACCTGGATCAGATCCTGCTTTATAGCAAGGATGGCAAGGTCTGCTGGAATGGAAACTCTTGCTGGGGCAACAAAACAAAAACAGAAGTTGCCTTAGTCCCTTACAGCATATTCAGCCTTTTTCATGTTGTCTACAGCTTCTTTACCATCCTTTCCCCACATACTTCATGCCCGCCAAAGTACTTACTTTTCCTTAGATGTCATGTGTCCTTGCATAAATTTTAGTCAGACTTACTTAATTTTATTTGCCTGGCAAGCATTTTCTATTGTCTGTTTGTTGAATAGTTAACCTCTTAATCACTTAATTCCAACCTTTTCTACAAATTCCACCTTTTCTGCAAAACATTTCCCAGCTTCCCCAGCAAAACCCATTGCTTGTTCTTAAAGGACCAAGCAAGAATTGCAGGCAAGTTGTCACTGTTAAAGACTTTACCACTGCTGTTTTATGACGGGTTGTTTACTTACATCTTGAAGTAGGTTGTGAACTTCCTAAAAGCTAAGCCTAAGCTTAGAAAAAAAAAAAAAAACCTTTATCCCTACCATCTAGCACAGTTTTTGTTGTATAGTAAGTGATCATGAAGCATTTGAATGGAGTGAGTGAGCAAATGAAAATATGTGGTAAGTTAGGTGAATAATCAAATCTGAGAAAAAGATAGAGTTTGGGGTAGAAGGGAACCAAACAGAAGTTGGAAGCATGCTAAGCTAGGTAGTGGGATCTTGAGGGTCATTTTAGGGAGTTATTTTTCCTTCTGCAAGAAAAATTAGTTAGAGTGGAGGACAGAAACACAGTAAGTTTTGTGTGAAGAAGAAAAATGATAGTATCAACTGAAAAGGTGTATTAAGATGAAAGGTGCATTGAGGTGCAAATCTAAAGGCAAAGGTGTTAGCTATAAATCTTATCTTGCCCTCTCCACTTACGACCAAGGAATAAGAGGTGTACTTAATTTGATCAAAGCAATAGCACACATTTTCCAAAACAGATAATAGCTACATTTTACTCAGAAGGATACCATTTCATTTATTTATTTATTATTTTTGTTTTGTTTTGTTTTGTTTTGTTTTGCGGCACTGGAGTTTGAACTCAGGGCCTCACGCTTGCAAGGCACATGCTCTGCTGCTTGAATCACATCTCCAGCCTCTACCCATTTTAAACAGTATTTGCAAACCAAACTGAACCAAAACATGGATGTGAATGACATCCAAATGCAGACTATAGCAAAAATTTGAGAAACTGATTGCCATGGTAGATATGCTTATCTATTCGTACTTCATCTGTATGTCTAATTTTATAAGAATAGCTAAAATTTGTCCTTTTGTATTCTAGAAGCTGTTCTAGATGCTTTATGTGATTTTTCTGCATTTATCCTGAAGAGCACCCCTTATACAATGGATTTTCCTATTTTATAGATGAGAAAACTCAGAGAGATTAAGTGATTTTTTCCCCCCAAAAGCATACAGCCAATAGTAGACCAGATTGGAATTCAAATCCCGGAAGCCCACCTTCAAAGCCAAAGCTCTTAATCTAGATACATTAGTGTTTGTCCCATGTCCACAGACTATGCTGATGTAGATAAAACCTCTGTTTTTCACAGTGTTGTGACATCACAGGGTCAGAGAGGCCAATTTATCTTCAGACTCAGTTCTCAGTATGGTGTCGGGTCTGCATCTCAGTGTTTTGTTTTAGACGTTCTGGGTAAGGGGATATCTGCACTGCATTTCAGACCGTCAGAAAAGACACAAAGATGAAAACTGAAGTAGGACATTGTTCCAGGAGAGAGTACATGTCACACATGGTATGAAGAATAACCAGGATATCAGTCAGAATGTAAGAAAAAACTTCCAGAGAACCTGTCCGTAATAACACTTTCCATGACAGTAGAGAAATTTATTGAGTGGTTACTTTCCCAGTTTACTCTTTTTAAAAAAGATTTTAAGAGAAGCCAGGCACAGTGGCTCATGCCTATCATCACAGTGTAATCTCAGCTGTGTAGGAGGCAAGATCAGGAAGATTACAGTTCCAGGCCATCCCAGGCAAAAAAGTTTGTAAGACCCCATGTCAATAGGAAAAAATCTGGGCATGGTGGCACATGCCTATCACCCAAGCAACAACAGGAAGTATAAAATAGGAGAATCATGGTTCCAGGCCAGCTTGAGCAAAAAGTGAGACCCTTTCTCCAAAATAACCAGAGCAAAAGGGCTATGGTGTATGGCTCAAGTGGTAGAACACCTGCCTAGCAAGCATAAAGCTCTGAGTTCAAACCCCAGTACCACAAAAAAAAAAAAAAAAAGATTTCAAGACAGATGTTGGCTAGTTGTAATGTGTCAATCTTAGCTGCACAAAAAAGAACCCAGATGTCAGCACATATCTTAATTGGTACAAGTTCATTTGTGGGCAACATGAATCGTGGTTTTGGCCTTGTGTTTGACTCAAGTTACTGTATGTAGTAAACCCCTTCGGTCTTCTCTGGAGAAAAACTTCCACATATTCCAGCACCTTGTTTCCTTGATTAGGCTTGACATTGAGATCCTTTCTGGTCTGCACAGAGCAGTGGTGCTGAGTGATCTCCCCTACAGGTAAAGTGTCTGCTTTGCTAATGATCTTGAGGCAGCAACTCCAGGTCTGCCAACTGGGAGCTGTTGTGAGATGGTGCACAGCCTAGTCTTTGAACAAATAGCACCAAGAGGTGCCCAGAGTTCATCAGGTAGCAGGTCATTTATCCACAGGACCAGCACCTACCCAAGGAGCTCTTCCAGAAGCTCAGTGCTACTTTTGGGCCCTTTGGAATTACATATGTTTCACTATTGAAATCACTCACTGAAAGTCGATACAGATTTTTATAAGAGTGATATCAGTGTGCTTATGCGACTGTCAGTGTTCTCTTAAGTGACACTACAGTAGCACAGTGAGTAGGAGAGAAAGACACTAGTATGCCCCAATGTGTGCTGCACCAACAAGGAAGTGACTGTTGGCATCTCTTCTTTGATCTGCATTCAGTGGCACCATGTTGGTAGCTTGAAACCAGCCAGGGGGTTTTTCACTAAGAAATTGGCGTAGTCTATAGATCACAGGGTTCCTATGCCCCGACCCAGAAAGCTGGCCACTAGACACTGACCAGCACACCACTGGCACTTGATTTCCTTCAGTTAATTACTTTAATATCAAAATGTGATCAATTACTATAGGCATATGCCTCCGTAATCATCCCCTTTCAAAAAATAAAACAATTCTTTTGTTTTGCTGAAAGACATTATGAAACTTCATCACTTCCCTTTTTTTTGAGTTGAGTTGAAAAAACCTGTTTAGACATCCCAGTCTTTTATTTATTTATTTATTTATTTGAAGTAGTAAGTGTAACATAGCTAAAATACTTCGTAATTGATTGTAATTAGTAGAATACACTTCCAGATATCTCAAGTTTCAGAAGATATATGTGACAATCATAGACTTGCAATAAAGCAATAGTTGCCACCACACCCCCCATTAGAAAGAAGCCTCTTCCTTAGTATGACAGTACTGGGGTTTGAACTCAGGGCCTCACGCTTGCTAGGAAGGCACTCTGCCATTTGAGCCACTCCCACTCCACCAGCAGAAGCCCCTTCCATAGCATGATTTCATAGTGCCACTTCCTTGGGAGTTGGTGTGACTTAGTTGTTATATCTGCATCTTGTGCTATTTCCATACATGCATATAATGTACTTTGATAAAATCCACAACTCTATCACTCTTAGCCCATCCCCCATTTATTTTATAGCTTTTAGTGGATTTCGATGTGGTATTTTCACACATACATCACATCCTCCTCCCCACCTCCAGTGGTTTGCCAGCAACTGCCCCCTGTTATCATTCGTGTTGTTGTTATCATCATCCTCATCATCATTTTAGG